TTTACTGGCTGTCAAGACAATTAGGTATGAATGGGTTAAAGCAATGAATTCCTTGTGATTGAATTTAATGCAGTTACTTGGACTGAAATAACGTATCTTGAATGTATGCAATGAAATGTAAAACAGTTGGTGGCCAAAATAGATTTCTTGTTTCTGACATTACAGGATGGGATACTGATGTGTGGAAGGTTAATGCATTTGTTTGAAATCCCTTTTGCTTTGGTTTAGCAAAGCTGTTAGCCTGAATTAAACCAGAGCATTAAAGTACCTATCTTTTTTGAAAGAAGCGTAATTTCAGACCAATGCATTAAACTTCAAACTGCAGCATCTCAGTGCAGAACTTTAGACACCAAACCATATTATGTTGAAAGTCTCTCTTTTTTTCAGGCAAGTTTGTTTAAACACAAAAACACAAACAAGGTTAAAAAGACAAATAAATAATCAGACACACTTAAGTGATAATTCTTAAACAAGCTTGATGAAATAGTTCAGTACAATGCTCAAAAGAGGTTGTAGTTGGCCTCAGAAGAGACTTTGAGGTCAAATCCAACTCTGAGGAAAAGAGATGCAACTGAATTAATCTTTAAATGAATGTGTTTTGTGCAATATAAAGAAATTACTAGTATCCATTGAGAAAAAAATTGTATGTCATAAATCTCCCCAGGATTTGACACCCAAGTTGCTGGTTGGGTCAATGAAACTTAACTATTCCGAGGACAGTATTTAGTCAAACTTGAAACAAAGGTCTGACTCTGGCTGACATCAAATTCTCCAGCCTTATTCTTCCTCTTGTGCTTTATAGAAGTCATAGAATCCCGACAGTGTGGAAACTGGCCCTTCGGCCCAACAAGTCCACACCGAACCTCAGAGCATCCCACCCAGACCCATACCCCTATAACCCACCTAATCTACACATCCCTGAACACTATGGGCAATTTAGCATGGCCAGTCCACCTAACCTGCACATCTTTGGACTGTGGGAGGAAACCGGAGCACCCGGAGGAAAACCACGCAGACACGGGAAGAATGTGCAAACTCCACACAGACAGTCACCCGAGGCTGGAATCGAACCCGAGTCCCTGGCGCTGTGAGGCAGCAGTGCTAACCACTGTAGTTTGTTTCAGCAAAATGCTTCCATTCCATACCAAAGACACAAGGAAATAATTATATTTTTTGATCAACAAGTCTATTTGTGATAGCTGATAATGTGACATCCTCTACATTGTACATTTGAAATTTAACCATTCTTATTGAGACAGTTTATTTTCTCACTCAAAGTTACCTATATAACTATAACAAAAAAAAAGTTTCAAGGTATGTCCATGATCAACATGAATTTTTGCTTCTTCATGCTTCTCTCATGAAGGAACTGACTCATGCAAAAGTTCCACATTCAAAAGTAACTGTTCCATTACCCCACCCCAGGACCTTTGTTCATAGTGTAGGCACCTGTTCCCTATCAGTCTTGCGGTACAGTACGAGCTTCAGGCAATGGTAAGAGGCAGAGGTCGCACCATAGTGGGTTACTGACATTGACTCAAGGCTCTTGGTATCTGGGTTATATAATTCAAATTGTACATTTAAATAAGTGCACTTTATCAGCTGTCAAGGCCTTAGTCCTTAATTTGTAAACAGAGAAGTCATTGTGCAACATCGATGGCTGAGCTAAGACAACACAAATTTGAGACCAAATTTCAAGCTTCCCTGATTTGAACGTTGAAACACCCAGTATTTGGCAACTGGGCCATCAAGGGACTGCTGCTATTTCTTAAGTTCTAACTGGATTATAAAATCAGATTTGAATAGCACATTGCATTAACACATTGATCTATGATTTACGAGAGCAGGGTCAGCAACAAAAAGATACGGCCCATGTTAGAAAGTTAGAGACTTGGAACGTGGATTTTAACTAATTAGACATGAACAATGAAAAACAAGATTGGAAAACTACATCTTAAAATGGGACTTTATGTGCTATTTCCTACACCAAGTGTGAGACAGGATAAGGTGATTAGGAAAGTGAGTAGTATCCTTCTTGTCTGTGAAATGTCCACATAACAAGTATGCACATTTAGAAGGCAACATTCCTTTTTTTACTTTTAATTCCCAAATGTGTTGTTTTTAGAAGGAGGAATGCTACAGAACAAAAGCTGCGTATTAAAATTCAGTGTCTGTCTGGCAATGACCTGTGTGAAGCCATGGAATGTTGCACACATACATTAATCAGGGAAACATTAAACAGGGAAGTACTTCATGAGAAGAGGAACCAAGAGGCTGACAATCTGTCCCCTCTCAGCAGAAAGCCACCTCTTACAGACCAGTCTGGTTTATCCTCTAGGAATACACAAGGACAGGGGTTAAAAATTTAATTTCATTCCTGCTGAAGTGGACTAATGGGACTGAATGCTCTCAAGTGTACTCACTTAGCTTGATCACTACTGTGCTGTGAAGATCACAGTCGAAGAACTATTGCCTAGTTTCCACTACTGCGTTGTGCGGTAGAAGGCAGCAAGCCAACAGCCAGGAAATAAAGAGAACATTCTCTAACCCCGAGTGCTGCAAACCAGTTAAAAAGGAAATAGGACAACTAAGAATTCCCTCTCTCACCCTGAATGCTAGAACTCAACCATGATCAAAAGACATCAGAACTATAAATTTCAACCAATCTGCAAAACTAAGGAGCATGAAGGTGACTGTTCATGAACCAACATTACTTGTAATGTCCACTGCAACAGCTGCAAGTTTCAACTATCTGCTCCTCATAACCAATTCATTGAGTGACATGTATGTAGAAATTTAACTTTTATCATTTGGATTCACCTCTCAGTGTGTACAGTGTCTGTAGTGTGTGTGTGTGTAATGTGTGTGTGGTGTATATGTGGTATGTGTCTGTAGTGCATGTGTATTGTGTCATGTGTATGTAGTATGTGTGCATGTGGTGAGCATGCGTATAGTGTGTAGTGTGTGTGTTTAGTAATTAATAAACTCATTCATTGTTAATTCAAGAAAGCCTGATTAAATTGCCTCCTTTTAAAACATTTGCATCTGGGAGAATGGTATCCACAAGAAAAGGGATCCTTTCTAAATTAACTCTGATGCAACCAACCAAGGGAAAGGGTGAATAAAAAAAAGGGAGCCTGTTCATCCCTCCTCACTCGGATGGCTAACAGGCTGGGGTATCCCATCGGGAATGGTAACGATCAGATAACTCTGCCAGGAGTCCACTTGTGACAATATCTTAAAAAAGAATTTTACACAGAATATTCATTCTTCAGTCTAGCAATCAGTTCATCATTGTAAAAGGTTGAATGAAAGACAACTAACATTGCTGCAATGAGAACATTTACACGATTAAAGTATAATGATTCAATTCTATCAAATGAGCTTCTTCTTCAAAAGTTATTTTAATGTTTAACTTGAACAGAAGTATCCCAGCCCATTTCCAGAATATTCTAGCACCCACCGCAGAATTACACATCAAACAAATTTCAAAAATGTTTCTGTGATGTTGGTCTTTGTGTATTTCAGCAAAGGTTTGAATTGCATTATAATTAACTGGAAGATTCTAAAAGCCAATTCATATTCCAATACTGAACTTTCAATGGCCCAAGAATGGATTCAAGGACTTTATTAGAGACCTATTGTAGTGACTGCAACAATGTCAGCCAAGTGGACCTCATAGGATATGAGTTCCCGATTAGGGCTGTTAATCTGGTCCAATCAGGGAGCCCTGGCTGACAGATAAGAACAGGAGTGTCAGAGGTTCTGTTCACTCTGAGAGCTGGCTGTGCGGGAGCTGGATCAGTGTCAACGACATTCCATGTGTAAGTAAAGGGTGACGGGATATCAGCCTCTGTGGAATTATTTCACTTATAACACAATGAACATTTAAAAGATGAACTAGCATCATGAATTCTCAGCACACACCATGACTGAAGGAGAAATCCATCAATTATTTTAAGGGGTGTGAAGAGGAGGCAGTAACATTCACTTTGACAATATCCTTTGAGGAGAAGAAAACAATTACAGACTTTAATGAAACAACTGGCCTGTTGCTAAGCTGTAATTATTTCCAGTTCTATGTCATTTATAAAACTGCTAGCGATGCCTAGTGGCAGAACACACGGATTACAATTTTCATCACTATATTATTCACCTGTATAAATTTGCCCTGCTGTAATGCAAAATTATAGTACTGGAGTTTATTAAAATGCAGATATTTTGCACTCATTCTCCTAGTTTTCAACATTTGAAATTCAATCATGTCACACTCATTGAAAAGCTTGAGACAGGTAAAAGCGTGAAAGGTCAATTTACTTTTAGTTGAAAGCATTGAAAATTAATAACCTGTCAAATGTTATTTTGATAGAATGCCGTGGTTCTGCTTCAATTACCCATTCACAGTTCAGAGAGTCCTTGTAATATCCTGGCCATCCTGGAGATAGAATTATACCACTTGGTGCTGTCAAATGGCCACCACATGGTGCTGGTGGAAAGAGATAAAATTAAAAACTCCAATTAAATGCAAACAAATGCTTCATTCTATTAAACAAATTTTTCACTTAAAACCCACCATAATCTATGCTATTTTAAGATTGTAGAAACAAACAAGAATTTAAAAAAAACACTAAAAAGGTGAAATTTTGAAATAAAGTAAAACAAAATTATTCTAAATTAAATGAATTAAGTTAAAGGAGTTCATACAAAAAAATCTGTAAAAAATGTGACAGCAATCAATAAAGCTGCAAAAATGCTTTGGTATCCTAGTTTTTATAAATTGGGGCAGAGAGTACAAAAATAATTTACTTTTTTTAATTCATTCATGGAATATGGACATTTTTGGCAAGGCCAATATTTTACACTTATTCATCTCCTATGGAGATGTGACAACATTCACTGAAAGTCTTTCGCCTTGATTCCCATTTGCTTTGATTTTACCTAGAATTCCTTTCGTCACAATTGGTCAAATGAATGTAAATCCATTTAAGTCATTGATTAAGCAGCAATTAAAAATTTTTGTCCACATTTTAGATGCCATAGGAATGGTAATAAAATGTTGGAGAGAGTGAAGATCCTTATGTCCACAGCATCACAGATGCCAGTCTTCAAATAATTCAGTTTATTGCACCGTGAGACCAAAATATGGCCGAAGGCATATGTTACTGCAAATTCGATGCACCCTGATAACATTTGGGCAATAGCATTGAAAATTTGTGCTCTGGAACTTGCCATGTGCCAAACAAATGTGTCCCAATGCAGCAAATGACATTGGCATTTACACTGCAATGTGAAAGATTTCCCGGGAAGGTCCTGCCTACATAAGACAGTATAAATCCAACGCAGCTATTACCGCTCTATCAGTCTACTCTCAGTCATCAACAAAGTGATGGAAAGGGTTGTAGACAAATCAATCAAGCTGCAAATGCTAAAGATAAATGTGCTCACTAATGCTTGGTCTGTTTATTGCCAGGGCCACTTAGCTTGTGTCCTCACTACAGCCTTGGTTTAAACATGGGTGGAAGAGCTGAACTCCAGAGGTGAGGTGAGAATGACTACCCTTGATATAACAGCAGTATTTGTCCAAGTACATCAAAGAGACCTAGAAAAAAACACTCGGCTCAATGGAAGTAAGGAGAAATACTCTCCACTGGTTGGAGTTATGCCTACATAAAGGAAGATTGCTGGGTTGTTGTAGGACAATCATCGCTGCCCTAAGACATCTCTTCAAGAGTTCAAATCATCAACAAAATAAAAATGCAGAGATTAAAAATATATTTGTTTCTATACAAAGGGCTATTATGACATGGAATACACTGCTGGAAAGATTGGTGGAAGTAGAAAATAACAGTTTTTAATAAAGAACATGAAAATATTTGTAAAATATTTATCCATGGATGGAATGAAACAACTGAGGATTTACATTGAATTTTCCATCCTTAAGGTGGGCCATGGGGTCATAAAAATTCTCTCTGCCAAGCATGCATAATAAGTCTTGCCTGAGAGCCAAAACATCTATTAGAGTGTTGAAACAGCTGACACCAGGGGAATGAAATATTCACTCACAGCTCTGTCTATCCGGTCTCTTCTGTCAATTGTGTAACGTTAATTCCCACAAGATAAAGGGGTTTTGAGTGCTTGCAGTTTCTAATATTAATCCTTTAAAGGGTCTGTATCAGTGATAGATTTATGGGTCTCAAAACAAACAGTTTTTATGGGTATATGCCCTTTTCTAATACTTTAAAAAAAACACAATGAACTGTCACTATAGGGTTAATTGACTCCACAAAGTATAATGACAGAAGTGGCATGGAAACAATATAGCTTAGTGTGAAGGGTATAAGGGGCTGTATTAAGTGGTTTGGATGGGTCTAGTCTTAAATTAAGGGCCTCATTAAGACCTTTTGAAATTTAGTGTGAAAAGGTTCCCTCATTCAGACACCTCTGAGGTGTTGCCATCCACAAGTCCTTTAAGAGCTGGCCCAACGCTATAAAAATTGTAGGAATTGGGAATTGAGCAACCCTACAAGAGCAGTCAGGTCAGAAGTATAGGGCGCAAGGTTGAGACCCAAACCAGCTCACATCCTTAAACAGCAATGCTACAACAGGGGCCGTTAGGAAATGAGACAGGCTTTCTGGAAGTGAGTCCAGCTGCCATTTTCACTCCCCTACAGTGTCTCCTGGATACAATGAAAACCTAGTCCAAAGGCATGTGTAGGATTTTGAAGAATTCAGCTGGTATACTGGATGCAGAAAGCTCAGTTAAATCTCAATTAAGGATGAGGATATTCATTGGGTAAACAGCATTTCAAGATGTCCCACACTCAGAACGACCCGTAGCAGATGGACTGGATGACCAACTGCTATGTTTGCATTGGCTGAGTGTAGAATAGTTAAAATATCCTTAAAATGGCTAGTCCTTTCAGAAAGCTAGAAGAACATGTACATTTACATGAAACACTCTGATCTTTAATTTTACATGATCCTATATGATGACAATTAATAATGTACTGCGAGGAGGAAAACAGGTCCATTTCATTGTATTATTAAAAAAAGAGTAACTGAAGTCATAGTAAGCAGTTTGTAAGAAGAAAATTAATTCCATTTCTTCTCCCTTTCTGAAGAAACATAGCTTATGCAGTTATTACCTTCACATCGCGGCACGGCAGAATTCCAGATGACATTTCCCTCTTGTATAACACAGGTTATGGTCTCAGATCCTTGGGTTTTAATAAAGCCTTCATCACAATGAAAAGAGACAGAACTTCCCAACAGGAATATATCGCCAAACCGTTTTCCATTGACAGGAATGCCAGGGTCATGACATTCATTTTGGCCAAAAGCTGGTTAAGAATAATACAAAAATAATATCATTACTGCCTGGAAATGATTCATAAATAACATCCAAAGGAGTCCTTTCTGCTACTTCATCTATCACCATTATGCTTCAGACACATATTTTCCAGTTCACTCTAGTTATCAACATAGGTATTTGGCAGCACCATAATTGTTAAGTGTTCTTTATGAGTTCTTGATCTCAACTTTGCACAGATTAGGGTGATAAATGGGCCGGAAACATTTTTCAGTTTTGCTTTATGCATAATTGAGTGAGAATAACATTTTTGGCAGGGACTTACAACCAACATTGGGGTTGTCAGCTAAGTTGGCTGGACTGCTGGTTTGCGGTGCAGACTGATGCCAATAGCACTGGTTCAATTCTCTCATTGGCTGAGGTTACCATGAAGGCCCCACCTTCTCAACCTCACCCCTCACCTGAGGAGTGGTATCCCTCAGGTTAAACCGCCATAAGTCATCTCTCTCTAATATGACAGCAACCAGATGGTCCTCTAGGACTGTGGTGGCTTTACTTCTACAATTAACGCATTACTCAATTCTTCACTTTTGGCATTAATGCTTTATACTAGGACAACATTATTTTAGGAAAATCATAACGCAGATCATATACAGTAAATGTGTACCAGAAATAGTAAATTATCAACAAATTTCAAATTAGCAAAAGAGACATTGCCAAGGCAATTTTAATAATCATAAAAGATTCAAGACCACGTTCACTGAAGTCTCAGTCCTCCAACTGTTATTATTATTGGAAATACCGGATAATGTGTGACGGAGGTTTGATAAGATTCCCTTTCTATTTTTCCCTCACTTATAGGGAGGGAAGCTGGCAAATCAAAATCTAATAGTCCAACAAGATCATGGTAAAGGATTTTAAGAACATACAACAGAGACAGGAGTAGGCCGTTCGGCCCATCTAGCCTGCTCTACCATTCAATGAGATTATGGCTGATCTGATAATCTTCAACTCCACTTTCTTGACTTGTCTCTAAGCCTTGATTCCCTTACTAAGTAAAAATCTGTTATTTCACTCTTGAATATTCTTAATGACCCAGCCTTGACAGACCTGTGCAGCAAAGAATTCCACAGATTCATTGCCCTCTGAGAGAAGAAATCCCTCCCTATATCTATCTGCTTTAAATGGACAACTCCTTGCTAAGATTGTGCCCTCCGGTCCCAGACCCTCTCACAGGGGGAAACAACCTTTCGACATTTACTCTGTCAAGTCATCTTAGTATCTTGAATGTTTTATCAGGTCACCTTTCATTTTTCTGAACTTTAATGAGTACAGGCCCAATCTACTCAACCTGTCTTCATAAGGAAATCCATCCATATCCCTGGATCAGCCGCATGAAATTTCTTTACACTGCTTCCAATTCCAGTATATCTTTTCACCGATAAGGGAACGAAAACTCTCCACAGTATTCCAAGGGTGGTCTGACTAATATCTTGTTGAGTTTCAGCAAGACTATTTTTATACTCCATTCCCTTCAAACTAAAAGCCAACATTTCCATTTGCCTTCCCTACTACTGCTAAACTTGTATGTTAGCTGAAAGCCTACAGAGGAAACTGAAGGAGTTAACAACTTCCACACTTTGAGATCTTGAGAAAGAATCACTTAAGCCAGAGATGGTAAAACTAAACCCGGAGATAATTTTGTTTGAAAAAAAGGAGATCCTATACCCTGAACAGAAAAAAAATATTGCAGCTACTAGAAATGGGAAATGAAAACAAAAATGCTGAATTACTCGGCAGATATGGCAGCATATCAGTGCAGAGAGAACCAGATACGATATTTCAGATCCGTGGTACTTCTTTGACATTTTCCTGGGCCTCTGATCAAATTAAAGATCATTGACTGGAAACACTGGGCTGGATTTGCCAGTTCCTTGCTGTTGGTGGGTGAATTTGTTGAATTCAGCAAGTGCTTTGTCCACTGTCTATCAGCTCAACCCCACCTCCATCACATTCATACCAGCAGCAAGGGTGGCGTTGGGTATCCATCTACAAGTGGCACAGTTGAGGCTCTGAAACGGCCAATTAATTCCCACTAAAGGTACTCATCCTGCCATCATCGCAATTTAACCAACAGCAGGAGAGGTCTCAACCAAATGCACAGGCTGGGAGACTTCCAATGCACAGAGCACGAGTGTGTAACAGCTTTGACTTTGTGATGGAACCCCCAAGATTATCGGAAGACCTTTTCCACAATAAGGTATTGCTTTTCTCCAGGATTCCTTCCTGTTGCCAACCATCACCTCTCAAATCCCAGCTTCCTAACCCCCTCACTTTGGTCTGCAGTTTTGTAAAATCACCAGTTTCCTAACCCCCAGTCTAATGTGCCATTCTCTGTCCCAAAATCCTGGATGGGTCTCTAATATGGGAAGCCGGTTTTTTTGTATCATGAAGCCCTTAAACTCTCGCTCTGTTTCCGTGGATACTGCCTGACCAGCTGACAACTTTAGCATATTGTTTTTATTCCAGTTTCTGTACATTGGCAGCATACAAAAATCAATTTAAAATAAAGAGAAAGAATGTCTAGTTATTTCCAGGTAGCAATAATAGATATTTATATGCTGGGGTACACAGTGGTATACCCCACTGGTGCCTAAAACATTGCACCAAGCAAGTCCTTGCGTCAAATTTCCTCACTTGGTCAAGTCATGATTCCATGTTTGTGAAATCACAATAACTACCTATTCCCTTCCCCTCACTTTCTTAACTTCATTTTTGTGCAAACTCAATGTTGCATCCTGATTTAATGGCATCTCTCTGGTGCTGAAATTCATAAAGTGCACCATCTCCAACTCAAATGAGATATTCTCCAGAGAAAACAATGTACAGAAATTACCTCTCTCAGCTCTCTTTTAAAATCTCTGGTTTGATATCAATTAGCCACAACTTTATATATATTACATTTAGCTTTGCTCTTACTCTTTTTCAGCTTTGGTGACCTGCTTTATAAATCTTGGCCATTCATCGAGACACACTAGCTCTTTATTTCTGCCTGTCAACACAAGTACAGATTGCTATAATCACCCATTACAAACCATCTCAATTAAATCACCTAGAGTGTTGATAACAGTGTATTTGCAACTGAAAGGAAATTGGAACTGTCTGGACTCCTGCCAAAATAAGTCATATTTTGTTTAAATGATTGCCTCAAGCATCATTCTTATTTCTTTGAAAAGCAGATTTTATCTTTTTTTGCCCTCGTGTGAGAGTTTCCTCTCAGTGAGTTTCAGTATATGGGTATTTACTGGTTGAGTGACTTTTCAATTCTTGGAATGCATGAGAAATTGATCACTGAATTGCTGTTTCACTTGAAATGTGACAATCTTGAGTTTTATGATCTGCACAGAAGTGAACTCCTCAGTAAAGCAATTCCTTTAAACTTTAATGAGTTATTTTAGCAATTAAATAATTTGGTTATTTGAGGCATTCCAATTACACTAGCAGAGTAAGATGGTATTCAAAAGCTGAACCCAGCTGTCAGAGTCACACAGCGTGGAAACAGACCCTTTGGTTCAACCAGTCCATGCCAATCATAATCTCAAACTAAACTAGTCCCACATGCCTGTGCTTGGCCCATATCCCCCCAGACATTTCTTATTCATGTACTTATGCAAATATCTTTTAAAATTATAACTGTACCCGCATCTACCACTATCTCTAGAAGTTCATTCTACACACGAATCACACTCTCTGTAAAAAAAGTTGTTCCTCATGTCTTTTTTAAATCTTTCTCCTCTCACCTTAATAATATGCCCCACAGTCTTGAAAGCCCCCACCTTAGGAAAAAGACACCTGCCATTCACCTTAACTATAACTCTGATGATTTTATAAACCTCTTATAAAGTCACCCCTCAACCTCTACATTCCAGTGAAAAAAGTCCCAGACTATCCAGTCTCTCCTTATAACTCAAATCTTCCATTTCAGGCCACATCCTGGAAAATCTCTTTTGAACCCTCTCCAGTTTAATAATATCCTTCCTATAACAGGGCAATCAGACCTGGACACAGAACAGGCCTCACCAACTCTCCTGATTTTCCTGTGCGCAACTTGAGGTGATTTTCAGCTGGGTCGCTGAACTACTTAGCGATGCTCTGTCATGGCAGAATTCTTTATCTTGGTAGATGCAGATGGGAGGTACCTGGGATATGATTTCAATGTTGTAAATCATCCATCTTCCAGCCAATTACCAAGAAATCAAATGATCCAGATAATTCTACCAACATAATGGCTGCAAAACATTTCCATCTGGAATGCACTACATGAGAGTGTGGTGGAGAAAGATTTAATTGTGCCTTTCAAAAGGAAATTGGCTAGGTACCTGCAGGGTAAATCAAAATGTCGAGCTATGGGGAAAGGGACGGAGAGTGGAAACCAAATTAACCCCATTGCTTGATAGTCCAAATGATCTCCTCCTCTGGTGCAGCAATTATGACTCTAAGACGATAAATGTTGATCAAAAAATAATTTGAATTCTTACAGTATTCTCCTTCCCTGTCATTTCCAAATGGAACAGTGGGAAATGCGGTTAAATATTGAGCTGTAACAGGTGAGATTACATTTATCAGTCACATTCCCCTCAAGTGATTAGTTTTAACAAACCTATTTGAACATAAAACACTGAACATATTGGTGATACATTGTAACAATAATTTTGGTGACTTTTTTTGAGGTTTGTTGCGGCAATTCATTTATTGTGATATCTAGATGAGCTGAGATTTGCTTAAGGTTCTTGCAAAGATTTGTAGCTCGGGTGGTGGATGAGGTTATTGGTTTGCTCGCCGAGCTGGCTGGTTATCATACAGGCATTTTGTCACCATACTAGGTAACATCATCAGTGAGGCCTCCGCACGATAACCAGCCAGCTCGGCGAGCAAGCCAATAATATCAACTGAGATTTGCATTTAAAATTCTGACACTTGAGCAGATATGGCTTGGCCGGGAAAGAGTTCTTCATTCTCTATTTTCTTCTTATTTCAACTTCTTTTTTCTTTCAACTCTTTGCTGATAGCAGACCCAACTAAATTATTCCACATCATTACTCAAGACTTTTCCTCCTCAAGCCTCCACCAACACTTTGAAAAACGACAGGAGGTACATAGAAACAATATCAATTCTGAGTCCTTCTATCACATACCACCCTAACGAGGTTATGCATCAAACGCTCCTTCATTGTCACTGCTTAGTTCAGTCTTCTGAAATTCCTTATCTAAATGTACCATGGGAGTATCTTCACTACACTGCACAACATTCCAGATCACCACCACCTTCTCTCGTGGCAGCGGCAATAAATCCCAGCCTTACTCATAATGCTCATCTCCCCAGAATGAATTGAAAAGGATCACATTTTCCAAACTTAAGTGATAGCCTGTTTCTTGATAAACCACTGAAGGTATGCTGAAATGGTTTCAAGCGAACATGTGAAATGGTCTATGGTGTTGCACATTCAACTTACCTTCAACACAATATGAAAACTGATGCCATCTGATGGGAGATACCAGATATAATATAGCTAGGGTTGGAATGTTCAATCCTGAAACACTCCACCCTGTAACATAAAAGGCACTAGTAGCCTAACCTGTATTCTGCCATGCAACCTGTCAGGCTTTCATCCCTTACACTAAGAACATTTTTTTATTCACTTGTGGGAATCACTGGCCAGAATTTATTGCCCATCCCTGGCTACCCTTGAACTGAGTGGTTTGCCAGGCCATTTCAGAGCACAGTTGAGAGTCAACCACATGCTGTGGGTCTGGAGTCACATGTAGGCCAGACCAGGTGAGGATGGTAGATTTCTATCTCTGAAGGACATTAGTGAACCAGATGGGCTTTTTCAACAATCAAAAATGGTTTCATGGTCATCAGTTGATTAATTACAGATTTTTAAATCTTAAACTCAAATTTCACCATCTGCTATGACAGGATTTGAACCCAGGTTCATTAGTTGAGTTTCGGGATTAAAAGTCTAGCGTTAATATCCCTTAATGGTGGAAAAGGGAAAGCCGACAACATTGACTGGAAGAAAACAAAACCATGCCAATTTACTTGTGTACGTGATGTTAAAGCCACGCCCAGTAGTGGAATGATCTGACTGGAATTCTAGGCGGGTGACGTGCCCATTGCTGGCCAGCTGGGAAGGTACATCATCACCGGAGAAAGTTCCGAGAACTGTAGAGTCAGCACTCCCATCGTCCTTTATTGTAAGGTAATCAAACTGAGGCTCAATGTCAAAATCATTAAAGATCAGGTGAATCCTGCTTGCTGGTTCTGCAATGATCAGCCACACACAGTTCATGTTGTTGCCATACTCCTCCGGGTAATTTGGCGATAGCACAATGCCGGACGGTGTGGTAAAATTGAAGAAGCAGGAGACTGTCCAAAAAATTCAGAAAACAATAAATTTATATATCACTAATCCAATCAATGCAAACAGTACCATAAATATCAATTACTTTCTGTAAATTAATACAGCATGTTGGAAGACAAAAAGAGGGCTCTTAATATTTAAAGAGACATGACATATTTTCATTGGTCCATAATCATCAAATTAAATATTTGGAATATTCTTTTGTGAGTCATTACACTAACATATCGTTCAATGTATGGTAGGTGATGACAACTCTTTCGTACTCAAATTCAATTTTTAGAAGCAGTGAAAAGAACATAGTGAACATTTGATAGCTTGGAAGTGCGGCTTATGTGGAGCAAAAGGAAAATGCAACTCTGTAAGAAGAAGACATTTTCCAGTTGACATCTAGATTGCCTTTAAAATGATGAACAGTTTCGGATGAGTGAAGAGAGAAAGACTGAAGAATCAGTGATTATCTGTCAGTGAGATTGGGGAAAGGAAAGAAGAGATTTCTTTGTGCAGAGCTGTTACAGAATGCCACAGAGACAAATTGAACAGGAGGCCAGTGCAACAAGAGAAAACAGAACATTTGAAGCAGTGAAAGGTACAGGACAATGGGGAGACATTAGAACTGGGATTAACTCTGAGTTCCTCCAAAAACAAAGTAACACAGATGGGCCTCCTTCTTATCTGCAAATTTCAATGGTGTTTTGTTGTTCTTTACCATAAGCAAATCATCACAAACTGTTCACCATGACAGTGAAAGGTAATACACAAAATAAAGTAATTACATCACCATTGATTGACAGTGTTATGATGCCTGTTCAAATATGGATAAAGCAGGAATACCCTTGTGTAGTTCCACACACCTCACTATCCCAAAAATACACGCATTTTATTTTAATTATGTTTTTGTAAATTTTCCTCGAAAAGCTCAGCCAAACAAATCTATAGAACTTAGTTCTATAGTTGAATGCATTTTGGATCCAAAAATGGTGAAGTTTGAAGATAGTTTGGTATCAGCTTACAAATCTGAAACATCAATTTAGTCCGAAAATCCCCCCATCAGGAGCATTCAAATGCTTTGATTTCTGGTCTGTTAAAACTCAGATATGTTTGTTCCTTAGTTACTAGCATACATAGAACATAGAACATCACAGTACAGGAACAAGCCTTTCAGCCCATCATGTCTGTGCTGACCATAATGCCATTCTAAACTAATCCCAGCTATGGTCCATGTCATTATATTCTCTGTCTTTTCATGCGTCTGTCTTAATACCTCTTAAACATTGCTGTCATATCTGCTTGAACCACCTCCCCTGACAGCACGGTTCAGGTACCTACCATTCCCTACATAAAGAGCTTCCCTCTCACATCTCCTTTAAACATGCAAATAATATTTGTAAAAGCTAGTCCAAATGGAAAAAGGAGACTAAGTTGACTCTGCCTCCCTGTCACTCAGTATGCAATTGTACCTAGTCATCTTTTTCCAGGGTTAGGTAACACCCAACCCAAATTGATGCTAAAGCCCCATTCAAGTGAATGAAGCCATGGTGGAATATATGCGGTTGACATCTCTGATAGAGTCATCATCAACTTGTTTTGGAGAGAAGGTAGCCTGACATGATGAATTTCACATATTTATCACATGGTCATTCCAATTAATTATGAGAATACTTAGAACAGAACCTATATCTACAAAACAAAATCTTCCACTTTAAAATTGCCCCAGAATACAAGTATCCATCACAAGGTGCTTCCAATGTATTTGGTAAATCAAAACACAGCAAAGGAAATGTCCTCAGAGGAACCATCTTTGAAAGGTTCAGAGTGCATTGAAATGAAATGTCAAGGCGGCAAAAAGATTTAAACTGAAGGATTCTTACAGACACAGCTCGGTTTGTTACCAGACCACTGATTGTTCTGTTGACATGAAATTGTCCGCTCTCCGACTAATTCAAACGCTGATTGGCATTCAAATGTCAACGTGTCACCATGTAAAAAACTGTCCCCACTTCTTTTACCATAAGCAGGAACACCTGGGTCACCGCAGCTTCCCGTTTCGATTTCTGGGAGAACAGAGAAAGAGATCAATGAGTCAAGGCTGGTATACAAACTATTCCAAAGTGAAATATCAGCTGACGAATGCAGAAAATGCTAGATAAATACAGTGGGTCTTTCATCCTCTAAAAGGAAAGGAGTAGATGTAGTTACCTCCTTGAAACTAGGCCACTGCTCATAGATTTTGCGCCTGAACGTACTTAAGTTTTGATGTAATAATAATGTGCTGCTCACATGTCACCTGCTCCTTCCTTCTCTCCTTTCACCTACTGTTGCAGGCCTTCAGGAATAACATCATCTAGGTCAATCTTTTCCATCCAAATTGGGAAGCTGCTTCTCAGAGGCTTTGTTTCTCATAAGCAGTTTGCCAGCATTATGAAAGGTACTCAACAAGAGAGCTGATTCAATTCCAGACTGACTCCTCCAGGCATCTGCCACACAAGCAGCATTCACTGCTCTAATTAACATACACATCATAATCATTTACTTATTATGCATATCCACACTATTGTACATATTTGATTTTCTCTTCTGACCTAATTTAATGCTTGTTTTCTTCAATTTGTACGAATTGCATTAGGACCAGAGTAAGTGGAACAGGTAGTTAGATCTATTAAGAGGGAAGATTGGAGATTTCAATAAAAACATCAGAATTGGAAGCTTTGTAATAGCTGCAGGGCCCACAAGCAAAAAAAAAAGTGTAAGGGTCATTTTAGTCCTAAAACATGACTGCTGTGATTAATCTTGGAAAATGACAGCAACCTTTGCCAGTTGCACATGCACAATTACATATATTTGCAGGATGTGCTCTTTGGTGGAAAGTGATTAAAAAGTCCTGACATTATTTGAATTTTCATTTATTATTTGAATAGACTTGGACAAAAATGTCAAGAAGTTACACCTTGTTGAAACAGGATCAACCAGGCTTTTTAGAAAGTGCATTTAATCATAATTACTTCTGATAAAACTCTGTAGTCTGATAATCGAAGTTTATATTTGTTTAATGTCAATTGTCCTCATTGGTTGTTTAAAAATACTTAAAATACTTTTGCAGTTTTCTTTAGCTTCTACCTTAGCTCCAATTAATGTCCAAAATTTTTATTACACTTTTCATAAATCATAAAAAGAGAAAGACAAAACCTGCTTGTTATTTTGTGGCTTGCAATCTGTGAGAATTCTTCAATGTGATTGGCTGCTTAACTTGCTTGATAACATTACTGTTGCTAGGTGCTGGGGTTTTCCTATTGCTGGAAGCAGAATTAAAGTAATATCAGGAAGAATGAAATCCCAAATTCAGAAATGGTTACATCTCACTCAGGTTTTGGTCAGTTAAAAATTGACAGGAATGCAACATAAAGGTGGGATTGTTGTTATATGTAACTTTATTCCACAAATCTGCATTCCTAGTGGGAAGTTATGCTCACTTAAATGATATCCTGCAGGACTAACTCTCTCACCCTTAGCACCTTGTAAGAGCAATTTCTAACTGAATAATCAGAATTAGCTCCATTAATGTTTTCTTTACTCCTGCTGAAACTGCATGGGACATCCAATTATCCCCAACTTGATTCAACTTGGAAGAGAACCAAATAAATGAAGATATTTAACAAAAGAAATTGTAGTTAGGTTGGAATTTCTGAATAACCCACTCAAAAACAGAACTACTTGCACCAGAAGTAAAAATATCTTCTCTCTGCATGCCGCTTGTGGCAAAACATTAAACATACTTGTATATAATGCATTTCCAATTATTTTTTAAAGGCTAAGGGAAATCTCGCCCTTGTATGCTGCTCTGCTGAAACTGTGGCACATTAAGATGAAGACGACTCAGGAACTGAAGAGGAAAAATATACAGCAATAAATCTGGAAACTCCAATAAAACCACTGAGAGGTTGGCAGGTATATTGGTCTGTCATTAAAGTTTATTGAACTCTGGTGCCAAGTAATAATTTCTTGATATATGAAAAGCTGCTTTGAGTCAATTTGTGGGTGGCTAGGTTATTAAAGATTATTTAATAATCATACATTCAAAACATAATAAGTATTCAAAACAATACTGCCTTAATTGTGTTTCGTTTCTCTTAAAGCACTTATCCTATTCAAATTGTGACTTTTGTAATTCCTTCAAAGATATAATTGGTACCATTCAGTATAGATAATAATTACATTAAGAAATGCCATAATTTTATCTGTGCAATGTGTACATCAGAGCTTGTCTTTGGATACAATTTACATGTTCATAGAAATACTAATTCATTCATTTGCAAAACAAAAACTGAAAAAAAGAAAAAGAATCCGTATGATATTTGTAAATATCCTCTAACTGAAAGTAGTGAGATCACTTGTATTCTATCAGAAGGTGTCACAATTTTCAGTGGGAGAAAACAGTGTGTTTTAAGTCCAGCTTAAAGCCCCCGTTCCGTATATCTTTCCTCCATTCTCAAAAGCATTAGGTGGAATTTCAATATTTGCAGAGGTGTTGGAAGAGGCAATGTTTAGCAGCCAGCTCCTTATACTGAGGTGCAGATTAAATATAAGCTAATGGCTTAATGGAATTGACTGGAGTAGAGTTGTTTGCATACTGGCTGCCATTCAGTGTCTCATCAAAGGAATGCTTCACACTGCAGAATCAGAAATATACAGCATACGAAGAGGTCATTAAAGGTTCTTCTGATGTGGTGGTAGTGTTCCTATCTCTGAGACAGGAGACCTAAATTTAAATCTCGCCTCCTCCACAGGTGTGTCAATAACATTTCTGAACGTGTTGCCTGGAAAATATCTGCAAAGAGGTAATTTGGTTCATCATGACTGTGCTGACAAATAGGTAGCCATTCAGTTTTAGTAACACTTTCAAATTGTTAGTTACTTCCTTGTCAGTAAAAGGAATTCAAGTGCATGATCAATCACTTTATAAAAAATATTCGGAGGGTTTCTGCCTTTGTGCAGCTTCAGATCCTTATGATCCTCCGGGTGAAAATACTTCCCCTTGAATCTCCGCCCACCTACTCCCATCTCAAATTTCCTAGCTCTTTATCTAAATCTATGCCTCATGGTTATGGAACCCTAAATCAGGGGAATTAGGGCTTTGCTATCCATTGAATCGACAAAGCAGTTATATCCAGCAAAGACTGTTTACTGGCACAGGCTGGCTCAAGCTAACTTTATGTTTGGGATCAAACTATCACCCATTTGGAAAGAAGGCTAAATAAGGAAATTGCATGTTCTAAGATCCTATCAGTTAGAGGACTGCCCTTCCCACACAAGCCCCATTCCTCCTCCAAAAACCTTGACAATCAAAAGTCTATCTCTTTCAGACAAATGTTTTCAATGACACAACTTCCAATGTTTTCTGGGAAATAGAATTTGAAAGATTCACACAATCTTGAGAGAAGAAAACAAAAATCTTGTCATCTCGCTCTCAAGTGGGAGACCAAAAATTTTTAAGTGGGTGTTCCCTACTTTTAGACTCCTTCATACGGGGAAGTATTGATCTGGATCTTAATTATGATGATCTCTATTACTCCAAAGTGACGGACAAGCCTGGAAATCCCATCCCCGAACAAGGGGCCCACTGTTTTTACAGGGTGGGAATGGAGTATTTCACATGTGCACATTTCTTGAGGACAGTAGCCCAAATAAATCAGTAGCTGCCTCCACTCATATCTAATTTCGGTCCCCAAGGTGTTTCAAAGGTGATGTGCTCATTGGAGACCTGGTAAGTGCAGGTGTGGACACTTAGAGAAGTGCTATATCTTTTGACAAGTCAAGTACCTTTGGAATTGTTAATAGTAGCATGGAATCCACATAAAAGTGTGTAAACTAATTAATTTTCCAGCTCATTGGAACTGCCAACAAAGTTCTCACAGTTATTTCTCTTTGAGTGTTGAAATTAGCCTAGAGACTACCTTTACTGAATTTATGCTGTAAGGCTGTTTCAACAACCTTCCATTTTCACAGTCAGGTACCAGCCATTTCAGTTTTATTCATAATTTAAATTGTTTGCAGATTCTGAATTGTCACTGAATTTTAATGATTGTTGTTCCGAGAGATTACCCACTAGAATAAAATGTTTGTTGCCATAAGGAATAATATTATGACAGGAAGTCAAATACAGTAAATCACTTTATTGATGAAACAGTTTTATTGATAAGGTTCCCAGTCAGACTGAGAACAGCTGCTTGAGGGTAAATCTACAGCAGAACAGTGGGAGGCATTCAAAAAAGTACTTTGGAGATGTGTTGTAGGAGGGGGGAAATGGGAAAGGGAGGAGTACAGGCCCATCATATGCCCTTTAGGATGAAACGTAAGAGCAACAAGTCCAGAAAGCCATGGATGTCTGCAAATATTCAGGATTGTATACAAAGTGGATTTGTTAGTTGTGTCGGCTGGACATCTGGTTTGCGATGCACAGTGATGCCAAAAGTATGGGTTCACTTCCTGCACCAGCTGAGGTTACCATGAAGAAGCTTCTTCTCAACGTCTCCCCTTGCCTGAGACGTAATAACCCTCAGGCTAAACCACCACCAGCTGTCTCTCTCCAATGAGATAGCAGATTGTGGTGACTTCACATTTTTATATGGGAAACTGATGAAGAAGATAAAAAAAAAGTTCATGCAGTCCTGGATAACTTGGCAAGTTTAATTCAAAATTGACTGAATGACAGAAAACACGGGATGGTGGTAGAAGGCTGCTCGCATGACTGAACCCCTGTGTGCAGCAGCAACATCAGAGCTGTGCCTGTTATTGTTTGTGATAGTCATAAATGATGCAGATGAGAATGTGGGAGGGATGATATATTTGTGAATGACGCAAAGATTGGCTGGTTGGTTGACAGTGAACAGAAGGTTTTAGTTTACCAAAACGCCATCAGATATAGGAGCAGAATGAAGCCATTTAGCGCCTTGAGTCTGCTCCACTATTCAATCATGGCTGATGTGTTTCTCAACTCCATTCTCCTGCCTTCTCCCTGTAACCTTTGATCTCCTTACTAATCAAGAATCTATCCATCTCTGTCGTAAATATGTTCAATGAGTTGACCTCCACAACTTTCTGAGCTAATGTAACATCCCTGTTTAAGAAAGGAGGCAGGCAGAAGATACAAAATTGCAAGCCAGTTAACCTGACCTCAGTCATAGAGTCATAGAGCACCATAACAAACCCTTCGGTCCAACTCATCCATGCCGACCATGTATCCCAAATTAAAATAGTCCCATTTGCCTGCATTGGGCCCATATCCCTCTAAACCTTTCCTAGTCGTGTACTTGTCTAAATGTCTTTTAAATGTTGTAACTTTACCACTTCCTCTGGCAATTTATTACACATATAAACTACCCTCTATGTGAAAATGTTCCTTTTAAATCTTTTGCCCCTCACCTTAAAACTATGCCCTCTGGTTTTGAACTCCCCTACCTTTGGAAAAAGACCTTTGCTGTTCACTTATTCATGTCTCTCATTAGTAAGATTTTAGAATCCATTATTAAGGATGAGACTGCAGAGTTTTTAGAAGTGCATGGTAAAATAGGGCTGAGTAAAGACAAAGGGCAATGTGTGGGGGACATGAATTCGCATTGGCAATAATTGACATATAGGCTATAAAAAGCCAAGGGAGGATGTGTGCGGCAGTTGCCTTGGAAGTTAGGAAGGGATAAAATTATAGGTACAGGGGACATGGGCTGGCTTGGACAATCTGAGTGCCATGGGGGCTGTAGGCATGAGGTGGGATGCGCTGGCATGGAATGTGTGGTGGGTTGAAGGCTTACGAAGGGTGAGTGTGGAGTGCTATTTCATATTTTAATTTCTTCAGAATTGCAACACAGAGCCAAAGCACCAAGCCAAGGCTTCTGTCCAGCTGGTCTCTGTATTTGTTCCCAGGTCATCCAGTCCAATGCCCAGGGATCTTTGCCACTCCAGGACAAAAATCCCAACTTTTAAGCCAGTTTTTACTGCCCAAGTTTGTGGAGCCAGGAAATGTGATGACTCTGCTCTCCAGATCCATGAATGAAAATTCAGCCCATCCTCACAGCTTCCAACCTGTTAAATTTTACTGAAGATCTTTTATGCTTCACTAAGACCACCTTACAATCTTCTGAACAACAATGGATATTGGCTGAAGTTCTTTCACCTTCCATCATCAGTTAACTATTTCTTCAACAACTCAATTCTGGGCTTTGACATTAACCCAGCAAAGCAGTGAGGACAACTGAAATGCAAGGCCCAACTGTAGAAGTGGCTGGATTCTCAACCTGAAGAAACCAAGACTGATGCAGTGAAAATGATATGGAAATCCATGAATTTTGAGAAAAGAAAGCTATTGCCACAACAGATTACTTGAATGTAGTGATGAGCAGGCTGCAAACGTTGCATAATGTGAAACCTGCAGCACTCTGCAAATCACTCTCCGAGCCATTCAACACAATTTGTAGATAGCACTCACTGAGGGGATACAAATGTGTGCAGATATGGGAGAAAGAAAATCTTTTGACAAAGCCTTGAGGTCAGTTTAACCTACCTATCAGGTGCAGGCACCATTAAATTATTCAGACTGTCATCTTACAGCGATGGTCTGAAAACTTTCAAAGCTTATTCAATGATCAGCACATGGTGCAGAAGACATGCCTCACAAATCTCTCCCAGAGGGATCTGAAGCCAAAATGAGATAAAGAAGACCACTGTTCTTAATTGTAATCACACAAAGCCATGGGAATAAATGGGATTCCAGATGGAAGAAAGGGACAATGCATCAGGAGCTTTGAGATGCAATGATCATCTCCCCCATACGAAAACAAGAGAG